GTAAGAACGTGGAGATTATTGCGGATTGCTTTACAACCTCGTTAAAATACCAGGCGGTGTTATTACACCGCGTTAAAAGAGGGGTGGGAAGAGAGAGAAGAGAGAGAAAGGGGAGGAGAAGAAAGAGAAGGAAAAGCGCTCGTCGTCCCGGTCCTTTCGCGCCATTATGAAAGCAAATGAACTATGTGGAAAAGGGGTTGGAAAAGGGGCAATAAAAAGAGTTACGCGCGGAATCGGCAAAATCGCTCCAAAACGATGGCGACGGTAAAGTGTTTTTAAAACGTGTCTTCCGTGTCGCGTCGGTGCGGAATTATTCCTCGTCGCGTTTTGCCACCGACAGCCATATTTAAGAACACGTTAACGAGATAACTTCTCTCTCTCTCTCTCTCTCTCTTATTTTCTCTCTCACCGCTCTCTCTTTCTCTCGATCAGCCGCGGTTTGAAAAGCTGAGAAAAATATTTTCCATCCCCCTCGGCTCTCACCTCCTCCCGTTTTCCTCGGCCACGTGGAGGCGAAGCCCTTAGTCGGCGGTTTTTTTCGTGGGCTTCTCTTTTGCGCGGACGTCGTTTCAGAAAAGGGAGCGAAGTGAGCGAGCGCACAGAAAGTTTTTCCGCTCAATTACTTTTCGGCGGGAGTCTCTAGTAGTTCGGCTCTCTCGGAGAAGTTTGCTCTCCCACTCGTGAACGGACTACATATGATGGACGATTAAAAAAGGTATCGAAAGTATGAAAGTGCTCTTTCAGCCGAGGTATACGTGAGCCGGCAAAAAGTTTCGTTCGCCGATCGGTTCGATATCAATTCGGTGCTTTGCGGGCGAGATAATATCTAACAAACACTTTGGAAAATTGATCTCCGACGGAAAAATCCGTCGATAAAATATACAAACATTAAAATCAATTTTCGAAAAAAATGTGATTATTTTTTTTATCAGCTAATTTTAACAATCGCAAGGTCGATATACGTGTCGCGGACAATATTATTTGCGGAAGGAATTCGCAAAGAGATTAAATATCGCGGAGCAACGATAACGATGTTCGGTTGAATACACCGAAAAAATTATATTCTCGTAAGTAGAGGATTTTATACTTAAAAAATCTTCTTAAAGATTTTAGATGACATTCTTCTGAAATTAAAAATATATTCTTTATTTAAGAATATAGTCTTTTTCGATAGTGAGATATATATGTTTTTCTATAGAGGCTTTTTGTATTCTAATCAGTATATATATTCTTATCAATATTACTATTTAGAGGATTTTCCTCTTAAAATAAGAAACTCTTCTTGGCGCCCTATTTTAGTATAAAATATACTTAAAGTAAGTGGGATATCCTCAAAACAAGAATACAATTTTTTCGGTGTACGTATATGCGACAAAGTATATATGCGCAATACGTATATATATATATACGTGTAAGTTCCTCGCTTATATTACCTCCGTATATAGCTGCCTACGAGGCTGTTGATTTTTAAAATAGCGCAGATACCGCGTTATATATATTACGGGTGTGTGTTATGTATGTACGCATATAATTACGAAGCGGAAGGTAAATCGACGTTATGCATAAAGCGCCGCCGGTCACGTAAAACGCGCATAAACCGAGTCTTTATAATCTCTTCGTTTGTAAATTTTCTCCCGGCTTATACACATAGTAGTATATAAAAAAAAAAAAAAAATACATGTAAAAAAAATCAGAAATCTGTGAGACCATTAATTCTTCTGGAAATGTGAGCGCATTTTACCCTGTATTTTTCGATCGATCGCGAGCACATAATCCGCACAGTAGCGTAACGTCTGCCGTATTCTCTGCCGCGGAACGGATACGAAATTCTCGTTATTCGCTCAATAGTGTCTTGCGGTTGGCGGCACATAAATAGCGGCATGATTAACGACCGTCGAAATCTCCATGGAGGAACTTTTCGAGAGAGCGACAAAACGTGACCCAGAGAGCTGTCTCTCCTTCTCTCTCTTTCTCTATCTCTCTCTCCTTCTCTTTCTCTCTCTCTCTCTCTCTCTCTCTCCTTCTGACAGGGCAAGTAAGTAATTTCGCGAAACCCTGTCGGAGTCGCATCTTCGAGCGCGACTTCTGCGCGCTTCCCCTTTCGACGCTATTTCCAGGTTCGCGTCGCAAAAGATCGACGATGATTGCTTTTCGCGTTTATGGCCGCGCGGCCGACTTACAAGTTTTTCCCATTATGCTAATATTCCTCTCAAACGCGTCGTTGAACAGCGTAAAGAGGAGTTCGAAGTTTCAAGTGGCTCCTACATCGCTGCAAAAGTCAAAATCGATAAGCGCAACCTTCTCGCTCTCGAAGAGCGAGAATCAAATCTGAAGATATACGGCGCAGCGCTCTCCGCGAATTTGTTATCTCTCTTGGCGTACAATTTCACGTACGTATCTTTTTTTTTTTTTTTTTTATCTAATTTGTTTTTTAATCGCAACTCAGATTCGTGTAACGCGAGTCTCCCGACTTCCCTATCGCAAACCGATTAAA